GGCATACTATGGACTCCAAAAGCATTTCCACTCAAGAAACATTCAAAGAACGAAAATTATTATATACAAAACATTGCTGAGGCTGGTCCTCACATATGGAGCAGAAACATGGACTCTAACGCAGAAAGATGAAAGACTTTTGGGAATATTTGAGCGTAAAATACTCCGCAAAATATTTGGAGGTATAAACGACAAGGGCAGTGGCGTAGAAGATATAATTTTGAATTGTATCAGCTCTTTGATGAGCCAGATGTCATAACGTTCATTAAAACACAGCGACTTAGATGTGCTGGACACATAATACGAATGCCAGAAAATACTATTGCTAAAAAGCTAACCTCAGGAACACCTGTAGGAAGAAGGAGCAAAGGCCGACCGCTAATTAGGTGGTTAGATGGAGTTGAAACCGACTTACAAATATTAAAAATCAGAAGATGGCAACATGTTGCCAGAAACCGAACAGAATGGCGACGAATCTTAGAGCAGGCCAAGATCCACAGAGGATTGTCGAGCCAAAGATGATGATGATGACATTTGTGACTAGTTATTGAATTTTCTCCTGATGTTGAGCTTTGTTCTTAATGACGTTTACATTGCCCTTCTCTCTGCTGATAACATTGCCCTTCTCTCTGTTGATAACATTTTCCTTCTCCTCTGCTGATAAGATTATTATGAACTCATCTTCTTTTAAAGATTTCCTACCCTGGCCCACCGAGGGGTATCTGATAAAAAAGTTCAAAATCATTTCAAAATTCATATTTGTTTAAAATTTCTTATTTATCTTATTTCATTTTTTTCAACTGCGTACAGATTCTTAGTAAATCGATGTTTTCCGTTTTCTCCCCTACGAGGAGGTTTTAGGAGTCAAAAGGGGGTAGCAGTAGCAAACTTTTTTACATCTCAAAATTGACATTCTCGGCAAAACTCATCTTCTTCGTATAATTATTGTTCAGTGGCCTTTTCGGCCCTGACGACTGGGCTTTTACATTTTTTCAATGTTGTAATTTTTTTAAATGTAATTTTTATTCCAATTCATCGTGGTTTATTCTCCTATAGAAAATTAATTATTTTATTTGTTTATATTTGTTCTTAAAAGTTTTTTTAAATATTTCATAAATTCTGAATGCGCCAAAGTGAAATTCAAGCCACTAATAGAGTTTATTTTGTACAGCAGCATAAAACATTTAAAACAAATTAACTATCTATTGTTAAAACGTGCAATTTTTGTAGTTTTAATTCAACTCAGTGAATTTGATGGCACTAATTTGTATTAAAGCCTCTCTTGACGTGTCGCGCATATTTCTTCTCAAACAAATCACTTGAGCGTAAAAGCTGGCCTGAAATGGAAATGATAACACCGAACATTGCCTACATATTGTTCTGTCACCCCGTTTTTTAATCGCAATAAAATCCACCGTATTGCCTAAAATAAACAAATCAGACAATAAAAAAGGGTTAACTTCACCGAAATCAAAAAGATACACCTTAGTGAAACGCCAATTTCGTTGACCAGTATTTATCTAATTAACTTTGGAACTTTGAATCCAATAATAATCGTCTTCTAATATTACTTCTATTGCACATTCTTATGCATTTTTTGGACATCAGAATGTGCTTCTCGACTCTCTTTTGTAACTTCTTTCAATTTTTCTAAAGGTGTGAGCGTGTTTACTGTGGATTATGTGGCACCTAGACGTGATTTAGAAGGGATACTATATTTGTTACTCTTCTAAAAATATAAACAATAATTGATAAAATTAATTAGCACAAGTCCAACCCAAAATCAATTTTTACCTCCCTCACAATTATTGTAAACTTAGACCTTATTTTTTAATATATACCAGGGGTCTCGACTAACCGACAAGACGAATCCCCAAACCGAGGACTCAGTCTCAATAGATCGCCGCGGGGAAAATGCTCTACCAGGTACAACATCCTGCCACATATATGTAAGTCTTCTTCCTCAAGTTCCACTCCTATCGGACATTGGAAATCATTGTGGCGATTATAATTTTGTTGGTTACGCGCCTGACTAGTTCAATTGAAATGCATCCAAACCATTCACGGAGATTGCGTAGCCACGAGATTTTACGTCTCTCATGATGTGCCCAAGTATTCCAATTTTCTGATTTTTATGGAATTTAAATTTTCGCATTGTTTTCCTGGTTGTTCGAGAACTTGTTCGTTTGTTTTGCGATCCATCCATGATATATTCAAAATACGTCGTAACACCACATTTCGAATGCTTCTAAGTTTATAATGTTGGATTTTTTAAGGGTCTATGCTTCAACCCCATACAAAAGGGTAAGGAAAATATAACCTCGAAGCATTCTTATCCGGAGCGATATATTGATATCGCAATTACAAAAAAGTTTTCTCATTCTATTAAAAGTTAACCGTACAATTTCAATGCAGCATTTTATTTCTTTTATCTCATCAATATCTTCTGTGATCCATGCTCCAAGGTATTTGTTCAATTTCTGTATCATCTAGTACTAGCTTAACTTTGATCTTTTGTGCTAAATACCATGAACTTGGTTTTCTTCAAATTTATTTTTAGTCCATAATCGTTGCAATATATATTTAATTGTTCAGCAAGGTGTTGCAGTTCTTCTAGTGTTCCTGCCAGAAGGACGGTGTCGTCAGCATATTTTATGTTATTAAGTGGCTCACCGTTTATTATAAGGCCCTCACTGACCTCGGCAAGCGCTAATTCTGAGATGGCTTCACTTGAATAACAAGGGTGATAAAATACACCCTTGGCGGACCCTACGATCGATTGCGGAGAATCTCGATATTCTAGGTCAGTTCATTTTCAACTTTTACTTTTGCTCATGGTTCTGGTTCCAATAGAGGTTACATATGATTCTAATGACTCTACTGTCTATGTTTTTATTTAATAAAATTTCTTTAAGCCGATTATGATGCACTCTGTCAAATGCTTTCTCATAATCAGTGAAACAGGCATATACTTGCTGATTTATATCCAAGCATTTCTCCGAAAGAACACTTACTGCAAACAGTACATCTCGTGTTCCCAGTCCTTTCTAAATCCCATTTGTGTATTACTTATACCTTTATCTAATTTCTTATGTATTCTATTGTGAATTAGTTTTAAAAACAATTTCAAGACATGACCCTTTAAGGCTATGGTGCGATGATCATTGCACTCCTTTGCATTGGCATTTTTGGGAAGCAGTATGAATGTTGTTGATTGGAGCCATTATTTAGGTATTATACTTGTTATATATTATATATATATATTATATATATATATATATATATATATATATATATTATATATGGTATTGAATAGATCCACAAGAAGATCAATAGATTCAGTATTCACAATTTTGAGTAATTCGATAGGAACTTCATCAGGCCCGGGATATTTACCACCTTTAGCTTGTTTCATTGCATATTCAATTTCTTCTGGTATAATGTCAGTTGAAAATTTCTCTTCTTCCGAAGGGAAAGTGAGAGAGACAGAGAGAGAAATGAGACAGTTACAAGAGAGAAATTTTTTTCCGCAAGGAGGATGGTATGGTATTATCCCTAAAATCTTACAATTCATTTAAAGAATAAGTTAAAAAAAAACGTGTAACACATTTCGCATTTGTTTATATAAAATATGTTTTTAATAAATCAAATTTAGGACACACACACAGGAAACAGCCTTGGTTGGAATGTGCGAGTCATCAGAATATTGGAGCGTGACCTTGTTGTCGTTGCTGACACGACAAACTTATAAACCCACTTATAAACAACTGCTGATATAGCAAGGACTATTATAATAGAGACAACAATTATTATCTCGGAGATCAGAACTAAATTAACGTCTAGAAGTACTAATTACATTTAAGATCAGTAACATTGTAAGAGTGTACAGTAGTGTTTTAAATAAATGTACCATACGATACCATACGCGAAGCTTTATTTACCATACTGTTCCGGAATCCCATATCTGCTATAATCAGCAGGAGCTCCAAATCTGAGCTCTTCTAGCTGTTCCGAGCGCCTAATCCTTTATTTACCTTTGGGCCTCACAGAAAACCACAAGTCTCTTTAAGGGTAACTCCCTCATTTGGCTAGGTTGCATAAAGGCTGAAACCAGGATGACCTTTGACAGGTCAGTACTGGCCACTTCCAGAAATCATGTGAGAAGGTTTCCTCCTCCTCATTACACAGACGGCACCGTAGAGCATCCGCCAATCCAAGCAGATGAAGGTTCCGCCTGAATCGGGTTATACAGTTAATATAAAGTTTTATTGAAAAAAGCCCGAAAAGGTAGGGTGTATTCGAGGAAATTGTTAAATCGATCAACAGTAAACTGAAAACTTTAAAATCGTTATCAGAGGCACGTTGGGCTTGTCGTACGGCGGCAGTCTCCATTGTACATAAACAGTATTGTAAAAAAATGTATTGAAAATGCATCTGATACAAAAGCAAGAGCAAAAGGAAAAATAATTTTATTCCAAATAAAGCCTTTTGATTTAATTATAGCTTTGTCCTATTATACAGCTCATTGTAGTGGTGAATAAAGCGCTTCAGTCACAGCAAATCGAACTGTGTCGGGCTGTGGATGAAAAGATCAGCTCTCTTTTTGGAAGAGTTAAGAATAGAAAAAAGTATTGATAGTATAATACTCTAGAGCAAAAAACACTTCCAATCGTCGTGGTATAGGACTTCGGGAACTAAGAAAACGTAAAGGTCCTCGAAGGTTGAACGGTAATCGTAATAAGGCGTTTGTGGTTAAGGGTAAAAAAAAAGAAACAAAACTGCCGATGTAAGTTATCGGCCTTTTATCGGTAAAATATTCGTTGAAATATGTATATCGAAGCGGAATTAGAGCTAAAATGTTAACGTGAATAGACTTCTTTGTTACTTTTATTTTAGGGTACCCAGAGCAGAATAAGACAGACACTAGACATTAATTTTTGAAATGTTTGTGATCAAATTACATTAAATTTTTTAGACTTTAATTTTAAATTTTATTTCAGCTTCACTCCGAATATAGAAGCACATATCGATGGCATGAATATACGGGGCCAAGACAAGAAGTCGTTAGAAGACCGCCTCAAACTAATGCCCCTGAAAAAACTAACGATATAAATGAAGCTAAAATTAACGAGGATGACTTCCATGCTTCTGAAGCAAGTAAGTTTACATATATTTATATGACTTTAAGGTTCATCAATACTTTAACAAGTTTAAGGGCTCTGTTATACGAGCGCTAATGTCGTCACGTTAGTAGCGCAGCGTTAGTGTCTGTCCAACCGGACGATATTGCCGTCCATATAATTTACTCCATGGTAGTGCTATTGTCCGATTGGGCTGATGCTAACGCAGAGGTGCTAACGCGACATTAGGGCTCCTATAACAGGGTGCATGCTTTGGTTCTTTATTCTTATTTAATTTAGCTGTATAAGTAACGGTTTTTTCTTAATATCGCCTCCACACAAGTATCAATTTTTTATTGGTAATTTCACATAATTTGGATATATTATGCTTTAATGTTTTAAAGTCTATTTCGTATGAAATGTGTGAAATGTCACGCAATCATTTTAACACGCCCAAAATGTTTTAACAAGAAACTCGCAAAAATTGTACTGATTCTTTAAGTTGTATTGAAAAGGACCCAAAACTAATTGAAGAGGATAATAACATATGCCAAAACGCATATCAATGCACTGAAAAAATCCAACATCACTCCAACATCACAAAGCCACAAAATAAGCAAAACACCATTCAAAATAATGGTTATTGTTTTTTTTTTCGATATTCATGGGATTGTGTATTTTCACTTGATTTCTAAGGATAAAGCTAGTATGTATCTTCTAAAATCTTATACATGATTGCTAAGTAATTCATCCATGTCTTTTTTGTTGTTTTTCTGTTTCACAGTACCTTCAACGCTTTTTCTCCTCATCGTTTCGTTTGCTAATTTTTTCCAGTTATTCCCCTTCCATTGGTAAATCAGTTTCGTATTTAATTTGCCAGTGGATCTATTTTTCATAATCCCGTAGCTTGTGTTGTACTTTGTAATATAATTCGTTTTATTTTTTCTCAGAGTACCTTTACATCATGTTGCAGAGACAACATCCTTTTGTCCATTATATTCTTTTCAAAAATAGCCACCAAACCGTGGCTCAAACTAAACTAAACTGACCGACTCTTAAGTCCCTAAAAAACTAGAAAAATACTATTTTAAAATCACTGAGTAATCAATCTTCTATTGATGAAAATGACGACATGATGAACAACCGATTGCAAAAACCACTTAAAAGTAGAGTGCTAAGAAAACCCGTGTCCGTCCCAGCTTTCGTAGAGGAGGAGTTCTGAATTAAGTAAGGACTCTTCTGTACTTCGCCGACGACGGACGGGCGGAGGAGTCCTCAACCCCGACACGGTGCGTCCCACTGGCTGATAGGGAAATGTCCTACAGATATGTAGGATAGGTGTGAAAAAGTTTTTAACGAATAAGCACCCGCGGACTAACTGAGGACATGACATAGCGCAGCAGCTATGACATTACTTCATTAAGGCTATAGCGGAATAATTTCTACTGTTGGCTTAATGATAGATACTCACGGGCGGATATCACATAATGATTCAACCGGCCGTGATGCTGCGATCAGGCCGACCAGAGGAAACCACCTGATTAAATTATTGAAGAATTGAGAGAACCAAACATTCTAAAGCCAGAGGTAGAAAAAGCAATCAATCAATCAATTTGAATGGAGATGTTGGATTAAATGTTATGCATATGATCTGCAAAAAGATTTGGGAAACCGGAGAGTGGCCCAACGACTGGACAACATCTACTTTCATCCCTATATTCAAAAAAGAAACTCCGCTAGATTGCAGCAACTACAGAACGGTAACCCTAATATCTCATGCAAGCAAGGTTCTACTTTATTTAATACATGAGAGATTAATAGCCTTTCTATTGCCTGCCATTGTACGTGCTCCATCGCTACTTGGTCCCACATTTATTCCATTCTATTCCATTGTCATTAATGTAGCTATCAATCAGATAGCAAAGTTAAGCCAGTTGACTCCTAAAAATACTTGGGATATGAGATCAGAATAAGTCGAGACAACCAAACAATCGAGCTGAAAAGAAGAATAAACCTCGCTTGGGCTGCATTTGGAAAGATGAAGGATGTTTTTAGGTCTAAGATTCCAATGTGTCTAAAACGAAAAGTATTTAATCAGTGTATTTTGCTAATGATGACTATAGGGATGATGTTAGGGATTTCTCTACGTGATAGAATACCCAATGCTGCCATACGCAAAAGATCAGGAGTAGCAGACGTTACTGAAAGGATAACAACACTAAAGTGGAACTGGGCAGGACAAGTAGCAAGATCAGTTGATGACCGGTGGACAAAAATAATTTTGGAATGGAGACCCCGAATACAAGCTAACAGAAAAAGAGGTCGATCCCCAACGAGATGGACAGATGACATAAAAAGAGTGACTACAAATTGGATTCAGATGGCGTAAAATCGGACTAAGTGGAAAAGCATGCGAGAGGCCTATATTCAGCAGTGGACGTTAGAGGCTAGTTGATGATGATGATGAACCGGTTTCAGCAATTAATTTTGATATTTCATAAGCCAGTTTTCAAGGTTTTCAGATTGAGCGTTCTGAGAAAACTTCAAAGACATAGTTTTTTTTTTGGTATTAATTCTCTCTTTTTATGTATAAAAAATTCTATTGCCTTACTTCTGTATTGCTGGTGCTTAAATTTCAAGTACCGTTTTGAAGGTTTTATGGACTCATTTGAAAGTGCTGCATAACAAATAACACATAATGGTTTGTCATAAGTAATCTTTATAAAACCGAACTGTCTCCTTAAAACTTGTACCCGACTGCAGATCACATGACGGTCTGTTTGTGCAAGTATTAGAACTTGTACTTGGTTTTATAGCTAATTTATTCATCGTCAAATTCAACGAAATCCATATGCGCGAAAAATATACGCTCTCTGGCTTGACACTAAGCTTAAACTAAATGGAATAAAAGAAGCTAGCAGTGCAGCAGACAAAAAATTGTAATTTTGTGGATGTGCTAGTGATTTAAAATAAAAGCATTGGAGGGTAGTGTAGTGATTTCTATTTTAAACACGAAATAATACATCTCGTTCCAATGAATTATTACACCCGAACGTTAAACCGGAGATACACATGCCTGTAAAGCTACAGATACACATGCCTGTTAGTAGCACAATGGCATACCAGTACCTAGCAAGCACCAGCTACTGTCCCCAAACTGGCAAGTGTGTACGTTAACTGGCATGCTAGTTCCTGGCATGCTAGCTAATCGCAAAGAATTTGATTTTTCCTGCTAGTAGCATGCTGTGAGATGCAAGGCGCGTGCGTGGGGAGTTCCATTGGCATGGGTGAACGCGCGCTTCCGCTACGGGCAGGCCAGTAGCTAGCAGGGAATTATCAGATTTGTTGTGTTGCTGATTAAAATTAATCGTTTTATTTTTAAACTTAATTTAAAAAATGTTTCGTTAAGGTGATGGAAAAACCATCAACTTTATTGCTGGATATAGAGAATTGGAGTGTCTTTTGAATTCTAAATCATCTCTATATAAAAACAAAAGAGCCCGTGACCATGCTTACACAAAAATTCAAAAGGAAATGGGTGAAAGTATTACTAAAAATGAGATAAAGGCCGAAATACAAAATTCCTCCATTTTCTCGCCTACCAATCCAATTTATCACCCAAATTTTCCTCTTTTTTGAGTTTCTTTTCGGATTTATTAATAAATTTCTAAAAATATCTATGGTAATTAGCAATATTTGCTTGTTGAATTCATTTTGAATATCTTCCATGGATCCCTTATTTTTTGTAGGAAACTTAAAAACTTTTAATTACATAACAAGTACTTTAGTTAGTGGCAGTTCTGGCATGCCAAATACTAGCAAATGTGTTTAGCAAACGGCTTTACTAGCACAATGTCATACCAATTCCTAGCAAGCTCCAGCTACTGTCCCCAAACTGGCAAGTGTGTACGTTAACTGACATACTAGCTAATCGCAAAGTATTTGATTTCTCTTGCTAGTAGCATGCTGCGACATATAAGGCGCATGCGTGGGGAGTGTCACTGGCATATGTGAACCACAAACCATATTATTATACTCTCATATGTATGTATGGTTTGTGATGTGAACGCGCTCTACCGCTACGGGATTGCCAGTAGCTAGAAGAGAATTGTCAGATTTCTTGTGTCAGATTTTATTTTAAACTTAAAAAAAATGTTTCGTTAGGGCGATGAAAAAACCATCAAATTTATTGCTATATAATAAAGAATTGAAGTGTGTTTTAAATTCTAAATCATCTCTATATAAAAATAAAATAGCACGTGACAATGTGTACACAAAAATTCAAGAGAAAATGGGTGAAGGTATTACTATAAAGGAGATAAAGGTCAAAATAAATAATTGCTCCAATATTTTCTCGCCTATATCAATCCAATTTCTCACCCAAATGTTTCTATTTTTTGAGTTCCGCTTCGATTCGTTATTAAATTTCTAACAATATTTGTGGTCATCAGCAATATTTGCTTGTTGATTTCATTCCGAATACCTTCCATGGATCCTCCTTTTCTTGTTGAAAACTTAAAAATTTTTAATTACAAAACAAATACTTTAGTTTCAGATGAAAACCACTCGATTTTTTACTAGCACTGGCACGTGTAAAATCTGCCTTGCTTTTTCGCCTTGCCAGTATAGGCAAGAGAGCTACTGGCATGCCAATTATTAGCAAATGTGTTTTGTGTTTGCCAGTTACTGGTTTATTCTAAGAGGAGAACAAGACTCACAGGCTGAGTTTAATCAAATTGCTTGCTTGCTTGGTGAGTCATTTCTCTTTAAGCATCAGCAATAAGTGTTAACTACCTGACTTGACAATATGACGGGGCTCAGCTATCTCTAATCTATCCAGTTCTTCCTTAGAACTATCACTTTCAGTCATACTTTTTTTTTGCAATCAATTAAATTAACTTGTTTAAAAAATTCACCGCTTCTAAACTTTAACAACCGAGTTCTTCAAACATTAACTCTAAGATGATTTTCTTCTCCTGGTTCCCTTATCTTTATCTTTTCTCTTCTCTCCTCCCAAAATAATTCCTAGCGCCAATC